TAGATGAATGCACCGACTTAGAAGTGAGACCACAAAGCTTTGCCCGCTCAACACAAACCGGCGCATCGCTCCGATCTTCCACCCGTGGGGAACTACGGTCGAGCATTTTAAGAAGATCAGCTAATTCCCGTTACTCATCAAAGCTATGAATACGTTCACATATTTTGCTAGGTTAAAAATTTCATAAGTACATTTGAAGCAAAGCTTCTCAAACGTTGTTCAAGAAGTTGATTGAGTCCATACACTTGTGATATTAGTAATAAGTATACGGGACAAACGCATTTTAATAAAGTGTAGAGTTGTAATGGTGCAACATTATTAAAACTATTGCATATTGTTCACTGAAGTATTTAATAAATAAATAAACGCATCGTTATTATTACTGTTATGTTGTTTTTATATTATCTTATATTTACTTAAACATAAAATTGTTTAGGGTATGTACAAAATTTTTCAACGCCTCTTCCTACCCACAGCAATCTTTTTTCCAGGCGCGCGCTGTCCACGCCCGCCTTTAGGTTTCTTGCCAGTTTTACCATTACCTTTTCCTTTTTTGCCTCCTTTTCCTTTCTTTACTTTTTTTCCGGCATCAGTTGGATTAGCTTCTCTCCTAAAAGAATAGATAAAAAATAATAATTGTTCATTGAGTTATTGAATATCTAAAAATTGATCATACTCTAATTTATTTTCGTTCTTTTGTATAGAAATAGCCTTTTCAATGTCATATTTTGGTTTCTTGTTAAGCACACTCTTGATCAAATCCAGATTAACCTCCTTTTCAGGCTGGCCACTAATATGTGAAGCTTTACGTTTCGATCCAGGTATCAGTTCTTTCACACCGATACCACGCGCCTGTTTTTCCTTTGGCAATTTATCTTGGAATTTTCCTACGGAGGCTGTGGATGACTTAGCTACAGTGACTGCAGTCAGCAACTGCCCTGAGGAGGCTACCTCTGGGCCGAAGTAACCTCCACGAGGAACCTCTACCTTTCTTGCTCGAACAATGTTTTTCATGCGTTGTATCTCATTCTTAGCCACTTTTTCATTACGCAGGTCGATTTTCTTCTGAAACATATCTTCATTTGGATCAACATTTTTAGGTACTTCCAAAACCCATTCCTTTTCTTTTTCAGCATCTGCACGTTTGAATCCATACGTTGGTACCCATTTCTGCAAAGATAAAGTTAAAAAATCAAACCTGAAAAAGTATAACTTTATAAATCTCCTAAACTTACATCGAGTACTTCATCGTATTTTTTCTTGTCCGTCTTTTTCTTTTTAATGCCTTTTTCTTTTGCGAACTTTTCCCATTTTGTCAAGGGCTTAGGTCCAGGTACCTTACGCAGGCGAGGCAAGACAGTTGTTGGCGCCGGCAGCTTCGCCACGATGCATTCGTCTACACGCTCAGCCGGCACCTCCCATATTGCATTAATTAGCAACTGTGTATTGTCACGAGTAAGATCAAGCAAATACTGCTCCCGGTTACTTCTGTAAATAGCAAGACATAATTTGTACGATTTTATTACAATTTAGATGTACCAAAACACTGGCCATCATTTATTTACCTTAGATCGTTTTCATCTAAATCGTTTGGGTCAGTGCACATCAAAGAACCAACATCTAGCCGGACTTCCAAATGTTTATCTACAGTAATTGGTTTGTATTTTTCTAACGTTCGTTGTTGTTTTTCTAACACTTCCTTCACGATATCCATTTTGGTATATTTTTCAAATCATTTAAATTAGAAATGCTTTAAATTTCTACGAAAATCGTGTTTTCTTCCAAATTTACAAAATATTTGACATTTCTAATCGCACGTGTGTTATACAGAGTTGCATTGCAAACATAAACAAAAAGCAGTGTCAGGTCCGTAATAACCAGGGTGGCGTTAAAAGATTTTAGTTCTGTTCGTTGAGCAAACACTAGTTGTGTTTAATGAGCTGCTCTAGGTTACGCCAGGTTGATATCTCACAAAATTGTGTTTCATGAGGATTTTTCTTGCTCTAACTTAGGCTATCTGCACACTTGTCGTCCAATCATAGTTGCGTTATCGTCTCGCCCTGAAATTTTGAGCCGAGCACATGCATTTCAAAGGAGATCTGCACACTTGTCGTTATCGGCTAGTTATCGGCAAATCGTAGAAGATGCAGAAACGGATAAGTACGGCACTGTCGTTTGCTAATCGTTGTGCACGCATTGTTTGTTTACATTTTATGGGGGAAAATTAGTGAAAAAGTGAATACTTGCATAAAAATTAGTATTTTTGCTTAAAATCTGTGGAAATTATTAAAAAGTGGATAATTGCATTAAAATTCAATAAATGTGAGCGTTTAACCTATACAATAAAACGAAATAATAAAAAGTCTCTGTGTGCATGCACAAAACACATTTCAGGGAAAGAAAAGAAGAGATATTATTGAAAAATGATGTCTAGATTTGTTGCAGCACAGTCTATATTTTAAAAATTACAGTTTTTTGTAAATATTTCGCGAAAATATCAACCAGAAAAACAGGAAATACCAGCTCCAAGTGAATTTTTAGACGCCAAATGAATTGAAATTTCACGACCGAGTGTGCGAAAGCGTAGTCGTCATGTAATCGTTGCATCATGATTGTGACGATGAAGCAACTATGATTGGACGACCAATGTGCAGAAAGCCTTACTCTAGCTTTTGTTTCATGATCCTGCGCTAAGTGGAACTAGAGCAACTTAGGCCCAATTTCAGATGGCCTATTTGAGTAGAGATTGTTGATTAACTTCCACTATTCATTTTCAGATCATACATTTAATCTGCACTTAATTGGCCATATTGGCTATTTAAACATGAGATATGCAACCCTGTGTTTGTACCAAACAGCCAAGATTGATTAGTAGGTTGTTTAATCAATCCCACCAAATCCGACCAAAAAACAATCAGCTGTTCAGCACAAGATGTAAACAAACAAGCAAATGCAGCAACAATAGCTTCGTTCCCCACGCTTTCCGGGCTGCTCCGGTAATTAGAGAATAAAAATAAGTTACTCTCTCACAAGTGTCAAAAATGTGCCAACACGTGCCAAAAGTGCCCAGAGCGTGAGGAACGCAAAAAACCACATTTCGTGCCCGGAATCAACATATCAGCTCTAAACAATGATTTTACGTGTATTTATCTTATATGGCTAATAAAATTGCCAAATAACTACATTTTCTGAAAATTCTGTGATATTTTCCACTTTTGTTTTTATAAAATTTGCTTTCGGATTTAATTTCGTTGTCGTTTATGATAGTCAGTGTGCCATGATTTTGTTTAAATTTTTGTAAAATTGCTTACCACACTAACGATTGCTATAAATTTTGCTTCCATTTTTAAAGATTTTCTAATTTGATGTCTTCAAACTAAAAACAAAAGCACCAAAAACGCACCAAGCACAAAACGCAAAAATTTTCGCGTTTTGAATACCCACTAAATTTGGTACCAAAAGCATGAAATTGGCAACAGTGAATGTAAACAAAAGTATTTTATGACGTCAGCGATTGGGTGGATGCTGTCAAATCGACGAAGAGAGGGTTAGCGGTCCGCGAATGGCGCGACCTTTATTTTCTGGATCGTGCTCGTAACCGGTAAATTTTGTTACCCTCATAAGTTGGTAACAAAGGTGATACAAACCCATGAACTAAAAATACAAGATCACGTAAGAACGCGACGTTGTATTTGTAACTGGTTTTGAGAAAAAAGTTTGCGAAAGCGGGTTCGTCAGCTGAGCGTTTGTTTACATCACAAGCACCACTATTTTACACTTTTATTCAAGTAAAGAAGAGTTAATCCAATATGACAACACATTTTAAAGCATTTTGTTGCATCATTTTACCTAAATTGTGCGTTTAAAGTGGCTGACAATAATTTTGGCTCATTTTGGTTTTCGTTGTTTTCTTTGCTTTGTTTACTTTTCGCTCGTTTTCCAGTGAAACAAGATGGCGTAGAACCCGCTCAAAAAATCGACTTTTTTCACTCTCTTGTTCTTACGTGATCTTGTGTCTTTCGTTCATGATACAAACCTATAATCATATGCAGGGATGAAAAATGGAAATTTCAGATTGTACCTAATATCATAAAATAAATGTACCTAAATGAGACAGATTGTACCTAAAAAAAATATACATCATTCATTTGTAGTTTTTTTTTTATTAATTTTATTTAAAATATGAATACAAAAGATGCATGTACTTTAAACATGATAAGTTTTTTTTTTAACTGAGCCTATATCTATAGACTATAGCCTAATGTTTTTGTCTAATTTTGAAAAATATTGGCGAAAAAGACAAAAAACACACTTTGCGAAGTATGCTTCTTTATCCAGCTTTTTATAAAACAATAGGAAAAGTCTGCTAATTTATCCGATACTTTTTGATAGGTGCAGCAAGTCTAGAGAAAATAATCAAATTACCGTAAGTAACTTCGAAAGCCTTTTAAATAAATAGTATATTTCCAGAAATCCAAAAGCGAATATGGGTCAAAAAGTTCTCATCTAAAGAAAATATAAAAGTTGAAAATAGACACTGGACTGTATGGGCGAATAAAGGCTGGTTTTCATTTGGGGTATTCACAGTTCGTTCCAAATTGTGTCTGAAAATGTAGACGTCTACATTTTGAGACATCTTTAGCGTCAAACTGTGAGCACCCCTTTCTAGCAGTCGTCGCAAAATCGTCACAAAACTTTGTTGGTGTTGCCAGACATTTCTTCTTTGCGTGCATTTTTTATATGTCGCCTTTCGATTTTGTTTCTGAAAAATTTTAATTATTTAACTTAATTACCAATTCCTAATATTTGTTATTTCTTTTCCTTGATTTGTTTCTTTTCATCAGAAATTGCGCTCAAATTAAATGCAAATACAGAAAACGTGCCCAATAAATAAAAAAAATGCGATTAGTATTGCCGTAATGCAACCCTGCTGCGAGGTTGCAAAATGTAGACGCGTAAAAAACATACCTTTGAGTGTGACAAAATGCTTAAAACGTCAAAAAAAAGGAAAAGATAAATAACCTGCTGGAGAAGATCTACGAAGTACAAACCATTGTGGAAGAATGAATGAATGGAAGAAGACACCTTCCTCACCAACCGCTCTGTCCTCTATGAGCTTCTTAATGTAACTGCAAATAAAAGATGGAAATTTAAGAAAAAATACTATCACAGCGTTTCACTCTTGTAGTATATTGGCTATCAAGCACCAGAAAATTTCCATCACGCATTCCATATGCCACCGATTGTCGTGGATCAATTAAAATACTGTCATCACAGCTTTTTGGTACTCCAGCAACTGGTGTGTCTATGGCGGAGTAATGTGGAGCTGTTGCATGACTAAAATCAATTTGGGCTCTTTGAGAACTGGCTTGTTTGTTGCGAGCTATTGGCATCAAATGTATGCAAATTAGATTTCCAAACGGGCAACTGTTGAATACAGGAAAAAATTTATTTTATATGGATCCGCTAAAGTGCACTACTACCGTGTATAAATTGGCCAACCTTCTAATAAATCAAGCAATCTTATTGTATAGTCATCGCCGCCAGTCACCAAGAAATTTCCACTTGGGTGAAATGCAACATCATTCTCCGGCGACGAATGCACTGTAGTGATGTGCCGAGTCGAGTCGACTCGAGTTCTGACTCGAGTATTTTAGAAGTACTCACGTACTCGAGTAAGCAAATTATAGTATTCGCATACACAGACTCGAGTACGGGTCTCGAGTACTTATAATTATCAAACACCGAATAAGGTATTTTTGATATATAAATGGCTGCTTAGCGTTAAAAAAAAAATATATATATATTTACCAAATACACCACACAACTAAATTAATTTTAATACCGTTTTAGGTATTAATTGCCAAAGATGAAAGGAATTTTAAATTCCAAAGGAGTAATTTTATTGTTTATGAATCTAGATCTCATGGAATATTGCCATTATAATTGATGTACTAGTTGAACTTTTAAGGTACTGAAGATTCATTTTTTTTAACTCATTATTTACTTTGGATTTTGGATATTTTTTTATGACAGACTACTAAGTTCTAGTTCTACTATGATAAATAAAGCAACTGTTATTGAACCCTATATTTATTTAATTTTAATTGTTATTTGTAAGTATGTAAGAATTAGATTTCTATGTTTGGATCTACATAAATCGGATATACTATCTTGGAGTTAATAATAATATCATGTTAAGTAAAAAGTCGGCATTTCGGTTGGGTGCATGTTCAGCAGTCGAATCTATAACATATTCGAATACCGAGCTCTGAACTCGAATACTTGATCCGAGTATCTGACTCGAATCCTGACTCGATTCTTTTTTTAATGAGTACCAAAATACTCGAGTACCAAAAATAGCCGACTCGGCACATCACTAATGCACTGTATTAGCTCGCCTTCAGCTTTGTCAAACATGAACCAAAAATACAAGATCACCTAATCAAAGAAGCAAGAAAAAAGTATATTTCTGAGTGTTTTTGACATCTGCCTAAGAATGAAAACAAACAAAGAAAACGAAAAAGGCGCGGTGATTGAGTGCCATTAAATTGGTATTTATTATAAAATATACAAAGTGAAACTTGATGACAATTAGCAAAAAAAGTTCATAAAATATGGTTTTCATGATTGAAAGTGTTTTACAATCGCATATCATTACCACGGGTCGATTTTTCAATGCCAACGTTCTGGCCACAAACGTGCACCCACTTTTCACGCAAATTTACGCCTTTTGGCAAACCAAACATACGCACAAACTTGTTCCGATCACACAGCACTTTATTTTATATCATAAATATGTAATAAACCAAAATTTATAATTAAAATCGCTGCAGAAAACACATTCAATCGCTAAAAAATCACTACGAAGAGGTAGAAGACGGTGTAAACAAAACCGAAAAACGTCAAAAACGCTACGAAAACTTTTTTCTGAAAATCGATTACAAATACAACGATGGCTGATTAGGTGATCTGTAGTCGTTGGTTCATGTTTGTCAAATATCTTAACGCGGTTACAACTTAATGCTAAAGCCACCAGATTGCCGTCTGGATGCCATGCCAGCTGTCGTCCCATACCAAGAATGATAGAATACAAGATTGCGCCAATCGAGCTGAGAGCAACTGGCCGTGACGTCAAAAAATACCAGAATGAGAGAGCAAGACGAACTCGACAAGAAAAAGAGGAAGCATCGACCAAAAGGCAGTGTTGCCAAGTTTTGACTTTGAAAAAGCACCAAATTTTTATTGGTGTATTTTATGGACTTTATATGAATATATAATTTTATTGCAAGGATGCCGATTCAAAAATCAATGTTTCTTGCACAACGGTCGATTTCTTCTGGCATGATTGAAGGTGCTGCCACATATTTCTTTGTCACTTATGATTGTCACTGTGCCATGATTTTGTTTAAATTTTTGTAAAATTGCTTACCACACTTACGACTGCTATAAATTTTGCTTAATTTTTTTTAAGATTTTCTAATTTGGTGTCTTCAAACTAAAAACAAAAGCACCAAAAACGCACCAAGCACAAAACTCAAAAATTTTCGCGGTTTGAATACCCACTAAATTTGGTGCGAAAAGCATCAAGTTGGCAACAGTGAATGTAAACAAAAGTATTTTATGACGTCAGCGATTGGGTGGATGCTGTCAAATCGACGAAGAGAGGGTTAGCGGTCCGCGAATGGCGCGACCTTTATTTTCTGGATCGTGGTCCCATACCTCTTCCCCCGGTGAACGTTCGCATACATTCGCCTGAAAATGTATCGCAAATTCTTAACTTGTCGCCGCACGATGAAATGAACTTACCATTAGGGCTGAATTTTGCTGCGCGCACCCATTTGTGTGTATTTTGAATCAGTATTTTGATGGCTGTTCGCCATTTTTCTAGTCTGCAAACGAATAAGCTGACGAAGAAGCAAACAAATTCAAGCACATTGTTGCATTCTACCCTACATATTAAAAGCTTTAAAATCTTAAAACATATGTGAAAAACTTTTATAATCTGAATATTTCTAATGTCGCAATCAAAACCAAATTTTATAAATAGCATTTTTAAAAAGCAATAATCTAATATTTTTCAAGTTTTTGGGCATATATGTTACCATTTGAGCAACAAATACTACCAAGTTTTAATGCAACTCAGGTCAAAAAAGCGCACTTTAGAGCAAAATAAGCAACTCTAAAAAACAGATGATCGCAGCTGTGGCCCAGGATGACGTCTATTGCTAAAGCTGAAATTAGTCGAGAACGCAGAACGTATACTTAAACGCAGTCTGTATACGCAGAATTTTGTCGATTACTGGAGCCCTCAGTGTTGCTTACTACAGTGTTGCCACTCTTCAATGCCTTTTCATAAACTTACCCTTTCAACCACAATTTTTCGTGCTATAATAGATTGTAACTAAATATAAACTACTTAGTTTTCAACAAAAACCTTATTTAATAGTAAATTTCAAATATTTTAAACATATTTCGAATAGGAACTTATAACGTTTTTACCATCTGCAAAACTGACGAAGTGGCAACCATCTAAAGAAGGAGAAATCAGCTGACACGGAAAAATCTAAATTCCGCAGATTTCTGCGCTACGGGCTACAACTACAGAAAAATTCTGCGGTGTTGAGTTTTCATTTACATGGCGCTTTGGTAAGACAGATCGTGTCAGCTGACTCGGGTTTACGTACCGGTAGGTTTACGTTCTTGACTAATTTCAGCTTAAGATATCTCACTTGTATTTGTACACAATGGTACAAACGGAAGATACCGCATTTGCGGCTAGCAAATAAAAAAGAAAAACAAGCAGTATTAACAAGGTGATTTGCAAGGAAATTTTAAATATCATTTCATTGATGATTAAATATGGATGAATCAAAAGGATTCCACTTTTACCGGCGTGAATTGTTTCTGTATTTTGGAGTCTACTTTGCTTATCTCATCTATGGCTTCTGGACGTTATTCGGATTACGTGAAGAACTGCAACAACATTCTGGTCATACGCGTGATCCCTATAACTATGAACTGGATATTTTCAATAATTACGTACGTGTTAACTGGCATTGGTACATATTGCATGCTGTAATCTCAACTACTTCACGTTTTTTTATAAGTGCAAACAAGATGGGCATGGTCTACGCTTTTGTATCAGTTCCTTCACTGCTGACCATACTACCCTTGAAGATGGCTGCATTCGTTTTGGCAATGCTGGTAATTTTCTATTTAGTCGCATATATTGGTAATAAAAAAGTTGTTTGGATAGCAACAGCGTTATGGGTAGCAATGCTGAATGCTCTAGCGATTTATATTGCTAATTTTTCCGATGGATATGACGTTTTTTATACTCTTAGTGTAATACTATTTTGGACCTTGCTGCGCTGTTGTAGCTTTGCACATTTTTGTGTCGATGCACACTTCAAAAAGGAACAACTGTTAAAACTAGATTGCTTGGCGCATTTTCTGGGATACACACTATATTTCCCAACACTTGCAAACGGACCATTTTTAGATTATAAGCGTTACATTGTGATATTAAAAGAAAAAAATGGGCATGGATTGCCTGGCCAACTAAAGTCATTTGCTTGTGAGTTAGTTCGAATTGTCTTCTGGTGGCTGGTTCTGGAACTCGGAATGCGTTACTTATTTGTACATTACATGGCTATGGTTCCTGAAACGGCAAAGCTAGTCAAGTCACCATTTGGACGGCATGCTGTTGGATACTTTTTAGGCCAGTTCTTTTTCATGACCTATTTAGTGAAATATGGATTGGGCATTGCTTTTTCCCGCTACGATGGAATGCAACCACCTAGCAAGCCGCAATGTATTGGCCACGTTCATTATTATTCAAACATGTGGAAGCGTTTTGACCAGGGCCTGTATGAATTTCTCTTTGATTATATATATCATCCGCTGGTGAATGCAAATTACTCCAAATTTGTATCTACTGTGATAACCTTTACGTTTGTATTTATGTGGCATGGCTGCCAGACGGAAGTACTAATTTGGACTGTAATGAATTTCTGGTGTTTGATCGCGGAGAAGTTATTGAAACATCTTATGCGTACTCCGTTCTATAAAAGACTGATTGAAAAAAAATTGGGACTGCAAACTGCACAACGTATTAATGCCGTAATATTCAGCCAACTTTTCATCATAGCAGCCTTTTCCAATGTGTTTTTTATTGGCAGTCCCGAAATTGGTGCGTTTTTAATGCTAAACGCCTACGGCGCTGGTTTTGTAAATTATTTTGCATTGTCATTTTGTTGCTATTGTTTCTTTCAATGCTCTGAATTGATATCAATGCAACTTTGGAAGCCAAATAATACATTTGAAATAAAATCAAAAATAATTTATTCATTTAGGATATTCCATTAATTTACAAAAAAATTAGGAAGCTCGAAAGTATTTTTTGGAAGACTTATTTATGTATTTCCGCGGCCGCTGTGGTGTAGTTATCGGTGCGCACTACCATTCCGCAGGGCCTAGGTTCAAGTCCAGTTTTCAACCAATATAAAGCAGTTTTTTCTAATAGCGGTCGCCCCTCGGCAGGCAATGGCAAACCTCTGACTAGGTATTGGTATTTCTGCTATGAAAAAAAAGCTTCTCATAAAATGCATTCGCTGTTCGGAGTCGGCGTAAAACTGGTGTGACAACATGATGGAGCGTGTCTCAAATCGGAGGAGAAGCCCGGCCAAGGAGTTTTGCGCAAAAATACGGAACAAATGCAGTTTGGCCCCAAATCTCAAATTAAAAAACAAAATATTGGGATCGATATTGATGATTGAATAACGGTATACTTCTTTTTTTAGGGAAACATCAACAACAACAATTATCAAAGATTGAAGTTCAAAATAAGCTATTTTTGAAATCAAGATTTCTTTTTTATAATTATTTTACATTAATTCAATTTTTGTAAGAACTATACAACATATATATAAAGTACGTATACCAAATTAAAGGGAATCAAATTTTCTATTAAATGATGAAATTTTCAAAATCCATCCATTTGTTTTTAAGAAATCTTGAGTTCAAAAATAGGTTATTTTGAACGTTAACCTTTGATAATTCTTGTTGTTTCCCAAAAAAAAAAAGAAGTATACCGTTATTCTCAGCTCAATCATCTCTATCGATCCCAATATTTTGTTTTTTAATTTGAAATTTGGAGCCAAACTGCATTTATGCCAAAAATACTGCTGATGGCGTAACACGAGTTTAATTTTTCTTTGCGAAAATGCTAGTTTTACCCTATTTTGAAATTGGCTCTATCTAATGAGTGCGGTTTTAGGTTCCTCACCCCTCCCTTCTCCGCTCCCCACCAAAATATCATTGTACAAATAACCGGACATTTCCCACGTACAACATTAAATCCTCTGATGTGTTTGATTGCTGTCATTAGGTTTGTTCGTCGAGCAAAAAATTTGTACGAATTTGTACGAATTATCACGATTTTTGCCCAAATCGCGTTCGTGCAGCCCAAAAAATTATCCAACACTCAAAAATTGTGAGAGCAAAGTGACAGTTCTCTTGGAGAGAAGTTGCAAATTCTTGCTGGAAAAAATTTTGCCAGCAAGAATTTGCAAACACGAAAAACATGTGGTTGTGGCGCATGGTTGCATTTTTGTTTTCAATAATTTGAATAAATTAGTTCGTTAAATTTAAAAATTTATAAACACGAGCGATTTTTTTATGAAAAAAGGAAGTAAATAATTGTTGATATAATTAATTTAGTTAATTCCAATGATTTGAACTTAATTCGGCTGAAAAAAATGGTATTCGCAATCGGAATGCAATTGCAACCAGAGGCGATTTAAGAAACCCGACAGCTAGTACGATGAAGAAATTGAAATGTATGTCAAAGAAAGTCAGAACAACAAGAAATATACATGTATATCCTATTTTTGGCCATCCGAAAGAATTTTAAAAATTCTATAAAAATTTTGTATGTTTGAAATGCAACCGTGGACGCCAGCTGGCACCGAAACTTGCAAATTCCTGCAAATTTGCGTTCGTGCAGAAATTTGCAAGTTTCTCAACATGAGAGAGAATTTGAGAGAATCTTTTCTTACTCTCTGATATTTTGAGTGTTGGATAATTCTTGCTGGATTTTCGACGAACAAACCTAATAGGTTCATTCCTTATCTTTTTGGACTAAAATCTGAAAAGTGTCAAAATGCCAGAGCGTAAGCAAAATGTGCTCACTAAAAGAGAATAACAGGAAAAGTAAAGGAACGCAAAAAACCAAATTTTTAGTCCAAAGAATGGCAACAACAAAACTAACGTCAAATAAGAACAGAAATGTACGTACGAAACACATTCACACAAGCACAAGCACAATAAACACTTGCTATATCAATTATTTTTTGCCTTCTTCCAATTTCAATTAATTTCTTTTACTTTTTAGATTATTCTCACTTTTAGCGTATTCTTTAATTTCCGTTAATTTAAATTCAGTTGAGTTTGACACTTTTCAGGATTTTGCCAGAAAAAATTCTTCTGACTAAATCTGACTACTTCGGACTGATGAGAGTCACTCTCACTGACTGTTGCTCTCTCATTTTTGCTGTCATTTCCGAGTTAAGGAACGCTTTTTGGACTAAATCTGACTACTTCGGACTTTTTCTGACTATTTCTGGGAGATAAGGAACGCTCCTAATAACACATGGTTGCAAACTGACACATAACATGTGTTGCCATATTGTACAAAACAATACATACAAAGAAGGCAATGATTAAAAAGGAATACAGGGGAAATCAATACAAAAGAAAATGTTCAGCTCCTTTTCTTCGCAAAACAGAAAGGAGAATTCTATTGCCTGAGGGTTATAATCCCTAAGTGCGGCCGAAGGCCGCCTACGCAGAAAGGTGTTCTCTGCAAAAGGTGTTCAGCTCCTTTTCTTCGCAAAACAGAAAGGAGAATTCTACTGCCTGAGGGTTATAATCCCTAAGTGCGGCCGAAGGCCGCCTACGCAGAAAGGTGTTCTCTGCAAAATGTGTTCAGCCCCCCCCTTCTTCGGCAACACAGAAATAATAATTCTACTAAGTAAAA